TGGTAATTAGTACTAGCATGGTGTCTGCTCTAGCTACAGACAGAAACAGCTATATTAATACACCAGGGGTATCTGACTGAACTTTGACAATGTTTAACATTCAGTTCCCATTTATTGTGTTAATACAGAGGTAATATTTTAGACATGTTTACAGGTGGGCTTGTTACTTGAGATCTCTTTGTCCAGTACTGAATGGAGAAAGCTGAGTGTCTACTGGCAAGTTCTACAGCTTTCCCTGTGCTGGAAAAAATAATTTGCTCTTCAAGCTATAAGTAATCCTGAAGTAAAACTGACAGCAATGATCAACAGTTATATATTTTTTATTTGTTATGTTGTTTGTGTGTCATTAGTAGTAAATATTGAAATGTTATATCATTTAAAAATTCTTCATCTTGAAAAACAATATCCATCAAAAGGCCCCTTCTGATCATTTTTACCCATAATTTCTAAAGCTCTGCAGACTTAAAGTAAAATTGCATTGTATTGATTTTGTGTGTGATGTGAATGTCTATAGCATCAATTTCTAAGTATTGTTCCCAATGTTTATATAAACAATTCAGAAGTTCACCATTTCTTAACATAAAAGAGTTATTTCTGGCTATCAGTTAGAGGAATGAGTTTCTTATTTTGGAATAGGTAAGGAGTCTAGTTTTCTGAGTGATAATTTCTGCACTCATTCAAATCAACACTCACAGTATTGCATGTACTGCAAAAGGAATATTACTTTATATCACCAAATAAATAAATTTAATACTTTATTAAACAAATATAGATAAGATAGGTAGCGACCAGCACTCTAAGATGATCCCGATTCTATCTTTGAATGAAATAAATGTGTCCTTCATGTGTCCACTTTGGAAAAATGTCAGCAAAGTTAGGGACAAGGCAGGAAAAAGATGATAGATCAGGAAATCTGATTGGTCAGATTTTGCTGCATCCTGCAAATCCTACAAAATCAGACGAACATTTTGAAACAAAGAAACAAACAAAAAGCAACAGATGGAAATCACTTTTATAGTAAGACCCTCCAGAAATGAAAATACCACAACGGAATATGGAAAATACAATAAAATTCACTTTGAAAGGGGCTCTTATTTTCAGCAACTCACAGAAGCAACTGGTATTGTCCAAAAATGTAGAATTTCATTGTCTTTATAGTTAGGCATGACTTAATAACATGACTCAGTATAAAAAAAATGAGGAATTATTATAGAAATTATTTTTAAAAATCAAGTCTTGGGGACTCTAAATAGAGCGGATGGGAGAGTGGGCAAAATGAGAAGATCCAATATCCCACTTCTTTTCCTTTAAATCGAGCAGCAGCATCATACAGACAGCAGCAAGTAGTGGAGGCAAAAGGAGGATGAAAATGACTAACTTGCCGTTTTCCAGTCTCCATTCAGGCCATCTCCCAGTGACTACACACAGACTTCCTCCACTCACATTGTCATCTCTTTGTACACATTGTACTATGGAGCTAGTAAGTAATTTGAAGATGTTTTCATGGCAAAGATGGTAAGGGACTTGAGGGAGGTGGTACTAAATGCCACTGGAACAGTAGGAGTGTTGCAGTAACTTCTAGGATATTATGAAGCTGGCTATTCATTGCCTGGCATGCCCTGGGACATGAAGCATATTTCAGGACTGATCTATGAGAAGACTTTTGGGTACTGTAAGGAAGGGAAGGGGAACTACCTTATATAAGATGGTAAGGGCCTAAGTATATGTAATGAATCATACCTTGGCTAATATATAAGCAGATTCATATGTCATATAAATGTTGGCCTAGTTTAGTTTGGTTAATAACACCTTTGGATAAACCTTTTGGGAAGGAGCACAAACAAAGCCTTCTTGGCTTACTAAATATCCTGTTATTCAGTTTTTTGAATGTTCCTGAATGTCTCTAACTTGGGTACAGGACAAAGAAGACACCTCCCAAACATGACCAGGGGAAAAAAAAAAAAAGGTAAGTTCATGTCTTAAATGAGATTAATAGCTTTGTTGTTGCTGGTAAGTAGATAAACATGATATATACTCTATTCTGTACTGTGGAATTTTGTAGATGGTCATAAATATTAATTATTATAATACAACAAATTGGGGGGAGCAATTGATAAAAACGTATCATTTGGGGTATAAAAAGAGTGTGCTGCGACTTAAGTCTTTGCCTTTGTTTCTATACAGCATTTTGTATATGTGTAGATGTAGCAAATGCATTGGCTACTCACCCCTAATTGATCACTGGGGTGTGGCATTCTATACATCTGCTGAAATAAACCTGTTCCTTGGTTCTGAATTTGGAATTAGCTGTGGTCATCTGCTACAGCAAGTAGTGGCAGTCTGATTACCTAGGTTCATAAGGTAACCTGTGGGCCTGGTTGGTGATCCTGAAATATCTTTACAGGTACTAAAGGTTTTCTTGGAGAATGTGATGCATGATGCTGTTACTTACACTGAACATGCCAAGTGGAAGACTGTGACTGCCATGGATGTGGTCTATGCTCTAAGCTGCATTCTACTGATTCAGCAAATAAAGGTTCTTTTCTTTCCCCCAGGAATGACCAAAAATTTAAATCAAAAGGTCTTCTCAGAGCCATCTATGCTTTCACCATAAGAACTGTTCTAGGCTTGTATTCTACGTGCTAAATTGTAAATACATATTGTCCTACCAAAGAAAACTACACTTACTGTTTAATCATGTTATTTTAGTAGGCAGTAAATTAGTATGTTGACCAGTAAGAAACATTGTATGAAAACAGCTGTGTTTATGTTCTCTAGCTCCATGGCACATATTGGGGTGGGGATACTTGGAGAACAAGTCATTAATTGTAAGAGGGCTCAGGAAAGCACAGGCTTGATTACTGTTTAGTTATGTACTTTATTTCATTTGCTACATATTCAAGTCATATATTTAAATAAAAGTATTAAAACCCTTTAACGAGGATTGGGTGCTTCTAAAAACTCTTCTTAAGACACCCGTTAATTGGAGGTGGCCTTTGGAGCAGTCTGTTTAGCCATTTCCTCCGGCAGCAGTCTCACAGGGGGCGGAATCTCCCGGGGAAGGACAGAAGAGCTCTTTCCAGTCCCTGCTAGAAAGCTTGGGGGGGGGGGGGGGGGGGGGCTGTTCCTGGAGTCGCACATCAGCTCTGGTCTCCAAGGGGTGAAGATGAGGATAGAAAATGAGGGAACAGGGAAGGGAGCAACGCGGTGATTTAGGGACCAAAATATCTTTTCTGTTTGGCTATTGAAAGCGAGATTACCCATTGGTTAGTTTGAAAAGCCCGCGCTGCTAAAGGATTGGTTAATTATAACCTCCCGCTGTATTTCCTCTTTGAAAATACTTAGAACTACATAGACTTCTGTAGGTGGCGTTTTGAATATTCACTCAGTATAAAATTATCTTCTGCGGGGTTTTCTATTGGATTTTGAAACACCATCGTGTAACAAAGGGCTAGGGGTGGGGATAATCAAAGTATTTTCTATTTTGCTTTTAAACAGATTGATCACATGGAAACCTTTATTCTCAATCTGGCTAGAAGTAACCTGTAAACAAGTCGCCAATGGGTTAGTTTGAGGTGGGGTATACGAATGATAAGAAGGAACCTTGAATAACTATTGAAGGGTAGTTGTGCCACCCTCTAAATAACCACACCAGATTAAAACACAAACTACAACGAGGATCGAGAGAGGTTTCAGCCCATTCTGTGGGTTAACTATTTCCATTATCCCCGCCCCTTCCCTATCTCCGGGGATTTGTGTGCATGATGGTTGTTCAGCAGTAAGAGACCGAGAGCAGGGATGACATTGATTAATGGACTGGTCGTTCTGAAAGAAAAATAGCGAGACATGGAGCCTCTGATACAATGGAAGAAATAAATATGCACCGAGGTGGCAGAAAAGGGAAGGCGGTCTTGTAGACCGAGTGTCGGGGGGGGGGGGGGGGGGAGGAGGGGCAGCAGAAGAACGCGGTACTGCGCTGGTTCTAGGATCCTGAATTTCAGGGAACCAGCCAGCTTGTGGCGACCGCTTTCTATCTGTGCTTCCAGAACTCGGCCGTTATGGCCTGATAGGAAGCCAGCGAAGCCTACTTGGCGGGGCTCTTTGAAGATACTAACTTTAACCTGTGTGCTAAAGAGAGTCACCTCCTGCCCAAGGACATCCAGTTACGCCGGCGTATCCGTGGTGAAAGGGTTTACAGGCTGCTCAGTTCAGCTCTCTTCTGCAACTTCCAAACGACCCAAAGGCTCTTTTAAAACCCACTACATTCACGCTGAAAGGAGCTGTAACACCCCTATAACTTGTAACGTTTGTTAATTTTTATATTTATGTTCTTATATTAACAGTCCCAAATAGCAAGATTATTCAGATAAACTAGAGAGAGAGGGGGAAAGCATTTGAGTTTTAGCTACAGGAATTTAAAGAACGATAGAAACAATGAAGCAAACCAACGATCCTTCAGGCAGATAGGATTTATAAATTTTGAATAAGCAGATAAGGATATTCATGGAGCCAAAACTTTTTAGGCAAACCTCTAGGATTATTCTTCAGTAAAATAGAGTACTGAATCGTGTCATCTGGTAAAATTTCAAATACTTTATTTACTGGACAAACCGTTTAGCCATATTTTATATTTTTGGGGGGTGGGGAGCGGGACACCTCACCGAACTATTGGTTGGAAGGGGGAGAAACGAGAAGGACGAGGGACACCTACATTTTTCCTTAAAATTTGAAACCCCAATATAGTTTAAATTGACAATGTCATTTACTAAAGCGAAATCAGTCCCCCTCGATATAGGGGGCATATGCAATTTTAAAAAATACTTTAACAAGTCACCTGAAACTAAAGCACAAATACAGATTGTTTCAAAAAATACACTGTGTTGTAGTTTGAAGAACACAAGCACCAGCAGTTAGTGATATCAGAGCTCTTTGGATGAGAAAGTGGATGGCTCTTAAAAGAGCCTTTGGGTTATAGGTGTTCGTAGTCTTATAGCAAACTATTTACTTGGAGCTGGTGTACTTGGTGACGGCCTTGGTGCCCTCAGACACAGCATGTTTGGCCAGCTCCCCCGGCAGAAGCAGGCGCACAGCGGTCTGGATCTCCCGGGAAGTGATGGTTGAACGCTTGTTGTAATGAGCCAGGCGAGACGCTTCCCCAGCGATACGCTCGAAGATGTCGTTCACAAAGGAGTTCATGATCCCCATGGCCTTAGAGGAGATACCGGTGTCCGGGTGAACTTGTTTCAGCACTTTGTACACGTAGATGGAATAACTCTCTTTCCTAGTCTTTCTGCGCTTCTTATCGCCCTTCTTCTGAGTCTTAGTCACAGCTTTTTTAGAGCCCTTCTTGGGAGCGGGAGCAGATTTTGCTGGCTCTGGCATTTTTGTTCTGTGTTCTCTCACACACTATTTAAATAAAAAAAAATTGCAATGGCGAAAGAAGCTGACGGTAGCTCTATTTATACAGAACTTATGCACACTAAAGTCTCACTTTACTGATTTTCTATTGGTTCTGAGACAATAGACGCGTTCCGAATGTTCCATTAACCTTCTCATTGGTCAGAATTACATCTCCATCGCCATTGGCTGTTCAGACAATTAGTACTTTTCAGCCTATCACAATGCTTGACAACGCCAAATAGAAAATATATAAAGGCAGCGCGAAACTCATTTTTTCTGACTTTTACCAACTATCATAGCAGTTTCTGTTCCGTGATTTACAATGTCAGGCAGAGGAAAGCAGGGAGGCAAAGCGAGGGCTAAGGCGAAGTCTCGCTCCTCACGGGCTGGGCTGCAGTTCCCAGTGGGTCGAGTGCACCGCTTGCTCCGCAAAGGTAATTATGCTGAGCGGGTGGGGGCCGGAGCCCCGGTCTATATGGCCGCGGTGCTCGAGTATCTGACCGCTGAGATTCTCGAGTTAGCCGGCAACGCTGCTCGGGACAACAAGAAAACCAGGATCATCCCCCGTCACCTGCAGCTCGCCATCCGTAACGACGAGGAGCTCAACAAACTGCTTGGGAAAGTGACGATCGCTCAGGGGGGTGTCCTGCCCAACATCCAGGCTGTACTGCTCCCCAAGAAAACTGAGAGCCATAAGGCCAAGAGCAAGTGAAGCTGATCAGAAAGCAGCAAAAATCTTCAGTCCAAAACCAACCCAAAGGCTCTTTTCAGAGCCACCCACAAAATCAAAAAAGGGCTTAATTATCTGTAACCATCACATTTTTAAAACAATAACTATTTTTCCTTCTTGGGAATAAATGATTGAATTGGAGTTACCTATATTCCAGCTACTGTATCTGAAAGAAAACTTTTAACAATTCTGCAGAAGTCTGTTTTCCTACAAACAAGACACTGAATCTCTCCTAGTTTGAAATACGTATTTGTTAGTTTTGTAGAATGTTTGTAGAAGACAGAAACCACCCGGACAGTGAGTTCACTGTTGAAAGCCGGATTAAATTGGCACCATTTCCTTTTCGTGTAATTGTTTGGCCAGTTTGGCTGGTCGGTGTGAAAAGGCGGGAATTCCTAATATGACGGTAACTTATTACTAGATGTGGTTTCCAGAGACAATGCAATAAAATAAAATGGGAAATACGGTACCCTTTATCGGTTATTTGTTCTAGATCTCAGAAAAAGTTTTCCAAAAGGCCTATGAATTGACTTTGGCGGGAAGGGCGGGGAATAAATTTGAACTAAAACATTTATCAAGACTCTCCTCTTCAACAGTTAGAGCGTCAATGAAAGTAGACGGATTTCCTCCGAACGGGAATAACGTTCCGGGTTGTCTGGCCAATCCTTGCACAGAGCGGGCTTTTCAAATTTACCAACTGCTTCATTCCCTCCCACCAGCAAACCAGAAAAGGATTTTGTCCATATACAATCATCGAGCCCTGTAACTCGCCCCTGTGAACAAAGGACAGGGCACATATATTCTGACCCATCCCTTTGAGAATGTATGGTGATGCCTGTTTCCTCCAACTGCTTGAAAGCTGCACGCTGTAGGTAGTTTTCATATATCCCCCTCAAAAGAAAAACCAAAATAACCATGAATGCGGGGGGCGAAGGGAGGAAATTAAAGCCGAAGTTACTATAATCTCTTTACTCGGGGTTAGGGAGAATGAGCTACTACAGTAAATTGCACACACTGTACATACTTTTGACCGGAGTCGCTTCTCTTTAACCCGGAGCAGTTCTCCTTTACCCCTCACTGTGTTTGTATAATGGTAAGGGAGGAAGGGAACTGGCCCTAGAAAGCAGCATGACGTTACAGTAAGTGACCCAGCTCGGTTTTTGAAAGGGATGGGTGGCTCTTAAAAGAGCCGTTGGGTTCATCTAAAAAGAAAGTGACTCTTTACTTCTTCTTGGGCGCTGCCTTCTTCGCCTTTGCTACTTTAGGTTTGGTTGGCTTAGGCTTGGCCGCCTTGGGTTTCACCGCTTTGGCCTTAGCCGGGCTCTTAGCTGCCTTTTTGGGCTTAGCCGCTTTAACCTTTCTCGGGCTCTTGGCCGCTTTCTTGGGCGCGGCAGCTGCTGGTTTCTTGACTTTTTTCGGGCTTTTTTTCGCGACCGCAGCCTTTTTGGGTTTCTTGGCGGCGCTGGCGGGTTTCTTGGCAGCTGGTTTCTTAGGCTTTGCCGCTGGCTTTTTCTTCGGCGCCTTTTCCTTGGTCTCAGCCGGTTTCTTGCTGAGTTTAAAAGAGCCCGAAGCGCCGGTGCCTTTGGTCTGCACCAACGTACCTTTGCTCACTAGGCTCTTGAGTCCTACTTTGATGCGGCTGTTGCTTTTCTCCACATCGTACCCTCCGGCGGCCAGAGCCTTCTTAACAGCTGCCAGCGAGACCCCTTTGCGCTCCTTGGAAGCGGACACCGCCTTGGTGATCAGCTCGGTCACGCTGGGACCTGGAGGCTTGCGGGCTTTTGAGCCGCCTGTCGTCTTCTTCGGTTTTTTAGCGGCGGCTTTTGCTTCAGGAGCAGAGACAGCAGGAGCTGCAACAGGCGCCGTTTCGGACATAGTGACTATTATTTCTTACACACTAGCAAAACAAAACAAAACCACTTGGGGTGGACTAGTTCAGTTGCCTGGTATTTATATACAGGAGCAGTCCTGTGATTGGTGCGTTAAGGAACCCGCCCAGCAAGGCAGATCGGAGTCTTCTTCCCGCTCGATTTGTGTTTTTTCACAGTTTAAAAAAAAAGTGTATTATTTTGTCCAATATCTACCTCACAATAACCCAATTTCTTATCTGAGTGAAGAGGAAACTGGGTATTTTTGTTCAGCAGAATTTCAAGTTGAATAAAGGTGGGTTTAAAGAAGAGTCAATAAACATTAAATCTTGGAATTGTAGAGATTTAGGGACAGGGAAACTAGTTTTTCCTTGTGAAATAAAAGGTAATAGTTGTTCATAAAACCACAGTTACAATTAAATATTATTCTTTGAGGCGTTTTCTATATATCAGGGTAGAAAACCCTTGATTTGAATCAATTTCCTCTGTAAAATGATTTCAAAGTGAAGAAAGTAAGACAAACTTCTTTCAGGCTTTGAACATAGATTGAGATCTAGCTCCCTGAACTAAATCTTTCACTTCCATTAAATCTTTTTAAATATTTCCTATTTCCACAACACCAATAACTAATTAGAGGCTTATAGAGATATGTTTATGCACTGGAAATCTTTATGGGAATAATTTTTAAGTTGCATCTTTAAGTGTTCCCGTATAAGATAAATTATCATTCTTAGCTTATCCTTGGGAGCTGATTTACAAATAGACTTGGAGTGTGTTGAAAGTTTTCTTGGGGATTATAGTCCACAATACTATCATCTGATGAACATGATAGATGGAAAGATGGTCATTATGTATGTGGTCTATGCTGAGAAAGGCGAGGGCCACACTCTACAGAATTGGTGGCTGTCCATCCCTCCACCCCATTAAAAACAAATCAGATCTTTCAAGCTTTCACAATAAGAACTGATATTTTAGTAGCTTCTTCTTTAACTCCAAGGGGGAAAAATGCTAAACTACTAAATACATAACTTTCAGTAAAACTACATTTAATATTCCTACCTGTATTCTAAGCAAGAAACTATCCTCCGTGGGCCTATTAAAAATAGGTAGTTTCATAGCAGTTGTATTTTTTTTCTCCAGCTCTATATCACATATGCGGAAGTGAGATTTTTACCCACGAAAGCTTATGCCCAAATAAATCTGTTAGTCTTTAAGGTGCCACCAGACTCCTTGTTGTCCTTGAAGAGTTGAAACTCATAAAATACATTCATATGGTGGATTTAAAATATTAAAGCTTTTATTGAGAAGAAGATTGTTCTAAATACTTTCTGCAGTAAATGATCCTATGACTGGGGATGGCTTTGTAGGGCCTTCCAAAACATTCTTTGGCAAGCTGAGTGACAGCAGACACTCATCAACTAGATTCCCGCTCCAGCTAGAAAGCAGCATTATTGAAATATTAAAAAGAATTTTCGGTTGTAATAATTTTTTAAGAAATAGGTTTGGAAGATACAGCTTCCAACAAGTTAAGAGTCTGAGTGTGGGAGTCAACCATTCTATTTCTGCAAACTCTGCCCTATAGGAAAATAGCCACAATGTAATTGTATAATGGGGTTGGATGTGTTTGGCCATTCTTTGAACTGAGTGAGGGAAAGGGTTCAGATTCTTTGTGATTTCTATCTGGCTACTGGGAATGGGATGAAACCCATGGGTGAATTTGAAAATTCTTCTACAATGATTAGCCAGTGAAAATCCTCTGTGTTTATATCATTCTAATATTCTCTTTTAAGCAGAAATAATCTATAGCAGTTGGAGGATGCATTAAGTACTCATTCAGAATGTTCTCTCTGACTTTCCAAAACAAAAGAAAACCTCCTGCAGTCTTTTAAAGACCTTTATTCCCATGAATCTGAAGAAAAATAACATTTAAAAGAGAGCAATTATTGTGTGTAGTTTGGGGTGAGGTATGTAAAAGATAAGCAGGTGGCTTGAACAGTTTTTGTGTAATGATGTCTGATCTAATTGAAAAGTGAGCAAAGGTGTGATTTTTTGTTTGTTTTAGGAGCGAAGAAAGGGGAGAGAAGGAAAGAGATTTATGTCTACCAAGCTGTGCATTATTTTTCTGCTCCTGAAGGCCATCTGCTAAACCAGGTGGTTTCTTGTAAAACAAGATAGGTCAGGATGAAAATGCAGATAAAGAAAAGTTATCCTTTTACTACTTAAATATT